CTGGGACTTACCGCCCAGCAGATCCTCTATTCAGCTAACTACAGGAAAGGTCCTCACCGGCCTTTTCGCACACCCGTGAGCCCTCACCGCTCGCGTGTGGCAGATCCAGGATCCCGTGAGCCCTCACCGCTCACGCTCCGCTGGGGGATCCTACGGTACCGGACGAAACGTCCTCAAACCTCCGATTTCACTGACTGGTTCTTCTTGTTGACAGAACGAAAAGCGATGCGCGCTTCCGTGTGAACACAACGTAGCGAAATCTATCATGCATTGGCCCAGTCGTGCTGATTTGGGTTGACGGCACCGTCAACTTTCGGTAGCTGGTTCTCGTGTTTCACCGAGCGCACAGCGATAGCCGCTTGCGTGAGGACAGAGCAAACGAAGGAGCACTCACACACAGACTTGCGCGTCGAACGCACCAGAAACCCGGGGGAAAACAGCCGAAAACCGATTTTCCGGGTTTTTGCCGCCGTTTTTCGCGCGAACGCGTGAACGGATTTGAAGCTCGAAGCAAACTTGTTCCTCGCAGTGACCCCCTCCACACATATCCGAAGACAGATCTTGAAAAGACCCCCTAGAAAAAAAGTTGGTTCGTCGCCGGAAAACTGGGACCTGATAACCACCCTTCAGCTCAGCTTTTGGGCTAGAGCAAGATTCGAAAAACTGATCTGAGCTGTCGTGTGCGTGATTGTTTGGTTGTCACGTGGATGGACAAATCCCCCGTATCTCGGGCGGTATTGATTCATTCACGTGTGTCTCATTCGATCCATACCTCACACTCACCGACGCATCCATCTACCCCTTGCTGCAGGGTGACCAGAAAGGGGTATCTGAATCATTGATGAGAATCGTGACTGACTGATCCGATCCTCACAGAGAAACGCTTCGCTAGAAAAGGGAGGGAAGCGTACATCCCTCGTCCTCGCTGTGCTCTTCCTTTTGGTTTCACGGCGGAACAGAACGCGTTGTAGACAGAACGGGAAGCTCCGCCTATTCGGGGGAAGCTGAGCCTGTCGCGATTTTCACACCAGGACGTGCTTTGAAGCTGCGCCAGTCGATCCAAGGGCGCTGCTTCGAAGCTGAGCCCAGTGACGCACAGTGATTCGACGGTGCTTCGAAGCTGCGCCGTAGACAAGACCCAGGAACCCTAGACAAGACAGGGCGGAAGGAGAGAATCACCCCTTGGACCTCATCGCCAATTGCCGACATTCAGTGTGCAGCAGTTGTTTCATTCGTTTTTCATCGTTTCGACCTCCCTGTGTTGATTTCCATCGTCAGCACAGGCAGATTCCAGACCAGCTGTTGTAAGCAGCTAGGTGTGTGCATCGTGTGTCACCAGTGACATCGTGTGTTCGTGCGTTCGTTCGTCGTTCGTCGTCCGATCGTTCGTTCATTCGTTTGTTGTGCCCGTCCGTGTGACAGACAGTCAGTCGTTGACAAGAGCAGTCCCCCGTGTGTGCGAACAGAGATAGCTTGAGCCTTCAGTAACAGCAACCTTCACACACCCGATCAAACACTCACTCTCACTCACCAGCAACACTTCATCCAGTATCCTCGAGCTTTGTGCTATTACTCATAGCACATCGGACACAGACACCGCGAGAAAGAAAGCGGCAACATTTCTGGTGCATCTGCCGTGAAAGCTCGAGCTTGAGAGGCCAGGATGAAGCTCAGGAGTGGGACAAAGACGGCCCTTCATGCGAAGGGGATGGCCACCAAGGCCGCCGTGAAGGAAAAGGCCAAGAAACACCACCCGGGAGGGAGAGCACTGCTGCGCAAAATGCGTGACGACAGGCGGAGGGCCATGAAGAATGCTGGAAGCACGGCTGGCGTAGCAGCCGTACAGCTCTCAGCCGCTCATCAGGAGGATGAGCCACAAGAGATTGATGTGAGTCAGTCACTCACGCAATCACCGGCCAGGACACCGAGCGCCATTACGCTCGATGACCTGAAGCAACTGACTGATGTGCAGAGGCCGAAGGTGAGCTTGCCGAAGTTCGACGGTGTGTCTGGCACATCGGTAGAGACATTCATTCAAGCCATCAGGGTCGCAGAGGACATGCATGGACAGACACAGGGCAGTATTCTACCGCATGTCATATATCACTTAGAAGGCCCTGCACATACAAAGGCCATTCGAAGAATGACCGAGATTCACAAGGAAGCCAGCAACAGCGCGAAGCTTGGACACTTGCTGCTTTTCCTAAAGGACGAGTACGGGCAAAAGCAGTCACAGACGCTCGCTATAGCTCAACAGATGAAATCATGGAAGCAGAGACCCGAACAGACATTCCAGGAAGCATTCGCTGAGTTCAATGACATGTACGATAAGTCTGACAAACCCGAGCCTGAGGCGGTCGAGCTCTTCATTGATGGTCTTCTACCTGAAGTGAGAGACGAAATATACCGCAAAGACAGCAACCCCCGCACATTCAGGGCTGTCAAAGACCTCGGCCTGAATGCTGAGGTGTGGCTGCTTCGTACCGGCAGACGCAAGAGAGACACCAACGAGGATGAAGAGAGCGAGGCTGAAAGAACGAGGCCATCCAAAAGCGCTCGGTTTGAAATCGACGCAATCGAGAGACAACCTACAAAAGACACTCCGGGCAAGGATGGGAAGGAGGACGCCCTGGCCTCCATTGCCGCCTCTGTCATCAATGCCGTCAAAGCAGAGCTAACTGAGGTCAAGGCAGATCTCAAGGGCCAGCTTGATGCCTCAAACAAGCCTGCGAAACAAGGAAAGTATGTGACACCGACATTAAACCGAAAGACCGATCAGTGGACGGGAAGGTTCCCAGGCGATCAGTGGACGGGAAGGTTCCTAGGCAGGTGCCTCTACTGTGGCTTCCCTGGGCACAGATGGTCTCATTGTAGACGACGACCGAAAGATTGGACTCCCTACCCAGAAAAGATGAGAGGAACGGTGCTGACAGGGACAAACACCGTTCGAACCAGAGCTCCGCGGCTGGGAAACGGATGAGTCCTCCGTTGCAGGGCGGGCGAGAGGACACAAGACCAGCAATTGACGCCCTACATGCACAACCTTTGATGAACGACTCGGTCTTGAGAGAGCCACACGGAAAGGAGACACGTATGGCTGAAGCCCTGAATATACACGCACTTGAGACAAAGAGAGATCCCCATTCAGATCCAGTTGTTAGTGCTGATCATATGAGAGATACTTCTGACATGCAGGCTGACCACAGGGTTATCCCGGCGGCTGGGCCAGGGGATTGTCCGGGAGACGCAGACAGATGCGGACCGGGCAAGACCTTGCAGTCCGGGTCGGAAGGTCCGAGAGTTGCATCGGCAAAGCGACAGTGCACCCCCCCCAACATGGCACGCCCTGATGCATCAGCGGACGAGTTTGAGCGAGTTGCATGTGATGGACAGGACTCGGGCCGTCAGTCTGAGCGAGTTGCATGTGATGGACAGGACTCTGGCATTCCGGTGGTTGGTAGGCACCCACCGAGGACAGCTGAGGAGAGGCTGGGGCTGGATGCGGCCAGTTCCAGTCAAAACCGCAGGTACGGTAGGCGAGAGAAGGGGACGCCTTCTTCTTTGCTTGCCGTAACGTCACTGGGCCCACCAGTGGCGCCGAAGTGTGGCCAGAATGCATGTCAGCAAGTCAATGCAGTCTGTGGCCGAAGCATTATGGCTCCTACAGATCTGCCAGTTAAGGGTTCCGATTGTCCCTCTCGGGATTGCCGGCTGCATTGCGCTGCACCGAAGGACAATCGCAGGCATACCGAGCTTGTGCGAGGTGTGCGATGGCAAACGTTTGTGCCAATGAGAGTGAATGGGCTATTTTGCGAAGTGCTTGTAGATACGGGCGCTGACCTGAGTGTAATCAGTAAGAAGATGATCGAAAAGCTGCGGGTAGAGGGCGACAGAAGCGTGATAATGAAGCCAGCGTGTGTGAAGCTAAGCATGCTGCACCACGCCGAAGTAACCGTGAAGAATGTCGCAGGAGTCGCGCTATGGCCTGATGCAGAGACAGATAAAGACAAATTACGCCTGCGCCCTCTTTTGATTGATTTCTGTGTGATCGATGGCCCCAAAGATGTACTTCTACCCGGAGGGAAGGCTCTACGTGAGCAAGGCGTCGTTGTGGATTCCCAGCTTGGTGAAGTCCGCATCACGTCACGACCAGAATGGCCATCGATCTCCATATGTGAGCCACATGCACGGACAGACGATCATCTGAGAGTGACCGCGATCGGTGTGGCACGAATACCCGCAATGACAGACAAGGGCACTAGACTCAGTCAAGTCGTCGCGACTGCACGTACACCAATTCCCGCAGGCAGAGAGACATGGGTAACGGCTCGATTGAGTGGCAGCCAAGGCATGATAGGTGACATCGGGCGCGTTCTGGAGCATCCAGGACTCGCGCCCCACAAAGGCGTCTGGCTGACAATAGAGAATCCAATCATAGAAGTGACGGCTGGTCGTCGCGTGCACGTGCGGATACGTAATGCGTCTCACAAAAGAGTAGTCTTATGGAAGTCACAGGTGCTGGGGCGATTCATCCCACTTGAGGACTTACACAACAGCACATACAGTGACCTGGCAGCATTGTCACTGACAAGCGATGACGTCCCCATGTTACCTGCTGAGATCGACCGAGAGCGGATTGACCACTTGATGGCCACTGCGCCCGAGACAGAAGAGATCCGTAATTTCCCTGACGCTGAAGGCATTGCACATGAAATACAGGTCGGCACTGGCCTGAACGAGCAACAGAATAAGCAAGCGGTCCGAGTGATCAAAGAGGCCCAAGAGACGGGCATGTTCTCCAGAAACAAGACTGACCTGGGTCACGTCGATCGCATGGTGTCCATCGAATTAATGTGAGCGGGAACCCGCCTTACATGAAGCCACGCAGGCTAGCACGAGCAGAAGAAGAGGCAGCGCATCAAATCGTCAGAGACCTGGAAGTCTCAGGAATCATCGAACCTGCAGACTCAGAATACAACGCAGCCATTGTCATGGTCAAGAAGAAAGATGGCACGTGGCGTCTCTGCGTGGACTATCGCTGGCTGAATGAAATAACAGAGAAGTCTCGCTACGCACCACCATTGATCGATCGATGCTTCGAATCCCTCCAGGGCATGTCGTGGTTTAGCACTCTTGACGCGACATCGGGCTTCTGGCAAGTCGAGGTCCATCCAGACGACAGACACAAGACGGCATTTTCCGTCAATGGACAGACACAAAAACAATGGGCTCGTATGCCGATGGGCCTATGCAACAGCGTAGCAACATTCCAGAGAGTCATGGACAAAGTGCTGAAGCGAGTGCTGTGGAAGAGTGCATTCGTGTATGTCGACGACATAGTGATCTTCTCGCGCACCTTCGAGGATCACTGCAAGCATGTCCTTGAGGTCTTCCGATTGCTGCAAAGAGCCAACATCAAAGTGAAGCCGAGCAAGTGTACCTTCGTTGCGCGGAAGATATCCATTCTTGGCTTCCTTATCTCCAGGAGGGCCGAAAAAGGTCGAAAAGATGATCAACATGGCCGAACCAACAGACAAAAAGGAGCTGCGAAGCATACTAGGCGTCTTCCAGTATTACAAACGCTTCGTGAAGGGCTATGCTGACCTTGCCAGGGCAATCACTGACCTGACAAAGAAGGACTATCCCTTCACGTGGGGAGACACGGAAAGACAAGCCCTCCAAGCACTGAAGGAGAAGATGATCAAAGCCCCTATACTGTTCTTACCTGACTTCAAGAAGCCCTTCCTGCTCAAGACAGACGCAAGTGATTACGCCATTGGCGCGATCCTCTGCCAGAAGGATAGCGCAGAACAAGAGAAACCCATACATTACGCTAGCTCTGTTCTGGGGAGAACCGAGCGCAATTGGTCAGCCACGGAGCGAGAGGTTTACGCCATTTACTATTTTGTGCGCCACTTCCGTCCGTACCTGTTTGGTCATCGATTTGAGTTAATCTCGGATCATCAAGCATTGTCCACGTTGAGAAAGGCGGGGGAAGGCGGCAATCGCAAGCTGCAGAGATGGTCACTGATGCTGCAGGACTATGATTTTGTCTTCCGTTATCGACCTGGCAAAAAGCACAGCGACGTAGACGCACTCTCAAGGCCACCTGGGCAGACGAACGTGCATGATAATTCTCCCACCTACCAGCTGGGAGCAGTCGAAGTCGAAGGCTTTGATGACAGTCCGCTGTTCCATCTCGACCAGATCATTGGGGCACAAGACAAATGCGATGAGACATCAAGTGTGAGGGTCTACCTGACGGCACAAGCAGAGAACAAGAGCAAGGAAGAGCTCGAGCAGCTACGAGGCATGATTCCCAAATCGTATCGATCACGGCTCGATCAGATTTGCTTACTTGATGGCATGGTGAGATTCGTGTCGAAGCACCAGGAATACGCACCGGTGCTCGTCGTGCCCATTTCTCTGCGCGAAGCAGCTATGCAGCTCCATCACTCACATCAGCTAGGCGGACACCTGGCAGTCGAGAGAGCCTACAAACAAATGGCAAGGGAGTTTTACTGGCCAGGCATGTACGAGAGTCTTCGCAAATACACAGAGACATGTCAGGTGTGCCAGAGCAAGAGAAGCCTAAAGATGGCAGGGCGGCCTACAATCCAAACACCATCCGCAGAGAGACCATTCCAGAAGATCGCCATGGATTTCATCGGGCCATTCCAGCCCTCAGAGGACGGCAATCCAAGACTACTTTACCAAGTGGCCGGAGGTCGTGCCATTTCGCAGCGCACCAACAGCAGAAGAGACCGTGAGAGCGCTCATCGAGGCAGTCGTCACCCGACACGGACTGCCGGAAGAAGTCATCACCGACAACGGAAGCCACTTTGTCAACCAGCTGATGCGTGACGTAACCAACATGCTGCGAATCAAACATACGACGACAACACCACACCATCCACAGGGCAATGGCATGATTGAGCGCTTTCATAGATTGCGTCCATACTTGAACAAGCGACAAACCAATTGGGACAGGGTGATCCCATTGGTCTTGTATGCGTATCGCACCACCGAACATGAGGCCACTGGCTTCACGCCATTCAAGATGATGACGGGGCGAGAGGCAGTCCATCCCGGTAGCACTGCGCGGTTGGCTGCGATGAATGAGACGGCGGCCAAGGTGATCGACCCCAAGGACGCCGTCAAGCTCATTAAAGAAGGTCTGCGTATGATCCGTGAAGAGGCTCTCCGAAACATGGACAGGAAGAAACAACAGGTGGCTGCACGCGAGAAGGACCTACCTGCACCAGGGCAATTCAAGCCAGGAGACAGGGTGCGAATATTCAGCGACGATATGCCTAAGGGTCTCAACAAAAAGCTCATATCACCATGGCGAATGGTAAGCATCATTGAAGAGAAAACGGGCCCAGTGACCTACAAAGTCCGACCCTGCGGCACACAGAAGACCAAGAACATCAATGTTGATCGACTGAAAGCAGCGCCACCACCGATGGCTGAATACATACCGGAGAGCCACTTGAGGAGAGACAGGAGACAAACCGTCCTCAACCAAGATGCATTTCTGACTCCAGATCTGGAGGGTCAGCTCGCTGAATTCGCAGTCGGGCCAGACAATGTGCCATCGGCAAAGAGAGACACTCACGCGGACGACATCCCTGCAGAACAGACAAAGGAAAGACTTTCCTTCAATCCAGTTGAGCCTGACCCCAGCCTCATGGACACCGAGCCTGACCCTCGCTTTAACAAAGCCGTTTACCAGGAAGTGAAAGCCAAGAGACGTCACCAGGGCAGGGTGCAATACAAACTGAAATGGCGCTGGTGGCCGCTCAGTTACGCGACGTGGGAGTACGAAGAGGACCTCAATTGCCCTGAGAGGGTCCAAGAGTTTGAAAACCGAGAGCAAGATACCGACCTTGATCCTCGAGACGTGCTGTTCCCGTCAGTTGACGAAGCAGTAAGGCTGAGACATTGCCTGGAGCTCGATCGCGAGCATGTGGTCAGAATCGATCGCCTCGATACGAACGGCATCAAATTCACATATCTCAGCGAACCTACGAGACCGAAGAAGTCAAAGAAAGAGGTTCTCATTGGGAAGTCGACCTTGTGCTCTTTGCGTGAGTTCTTGAAGAACTACCAGTGGGAAAAAGAAAGGGATGAGCGCGATATGGGCCCCGCCACACGCGACGGAGAGAACAACAGTCAACCAGGGCTGAACGTACTATAGAAACGGGAGAGTGGCATCTCCTCTCTCGTCACTGAATGCACACAGAAACAGCAAGCGACACCGTGTGCGACTTTTTAAAGGGATGTCTTCTTTGGTCAAGATGTTCGTGTTTTCGTGTACAAGGGCGAGGGGTGCGTGTACATGTGTGTGAGTGAGTGTGAATGAATGTGAGCGTGCGTACGTGTTACATGATGATTTTGAAGCCTCCGAGTCGGGCGAAGCCCCAGCAGCAGGAACGGGAAGGGTCTTCCTGACTGAACCTGCATGAGGCAGCAGTGCACACAGTGTGTATTTGTGTGTGTGTGCGTGCCTGCTTTCGCCAGAGAATGAGGACTCCCATGCCTCAGAAAGGGTGCTGCACTGCAGCCGGTTCTCATCTCCAACTGCCAGAACACAGAGGGACGGTCATTGATGGGTTGGGCCGTGCTGGAGGCGAAGCAGAGGAAGGAGTTTTTACCACTGTCTGTGTGTTTTCTTCTTCGTGGTGTGTGTGTGTGTGTGTGCATGTTGTGTCGTGCCGTGTAGTGTTGGGTATGCGTGCGTGTGGGAGAGTCTGCTCCCTTGTACCATGATTGTAGATAGCTGGAGGCAGCTGTTCACACGAATGCCGGTCGGCGGCAGGGTTTTTGCGGAGGATTCTTCATGAAGAAGAGGCTGGAGAAGACCAGCGGCGAACGAAGCTCTTCCTCTTGACGCGGGCGAAGAATAAGAGCCCGTGGGCCAAGGGAGCAGAGAGACGTCTCGAGCTCGCGTGGCCTCCATGCACGAGACGATCGAATTCATCATACGCAGAGCGCATTGCGCTCAGAGTGCTCATTCGGCTCAGACGGAGCAAGCGTCAAAGAAAGAGAAGCGTCTGACGGAGGTCTGTCTGACGAGTCCGTCAGTCCGTGAGGATCGAATCAGTCAGTCACGATTCTCATCAATGATTCAGATACCCCTTTCTGGTTACCCTACAGCATTCCCTCCCTTAGAATGCTGTGGGCTCCGAACAGCATCCCTATTCACTGCAGGGTGCTTCTGCCTTCTGCATGTCTACTGAATGAGAGAAAGTAGGGCATGCATGTAGATCCATTGTAAGTACAAAATTCTGCCTTGTGTGTCGATAGTGTGACCTGTGTTGGCACCCGCCCGACTCGCTGGTGCCCGAGTCAGATGGGCAGGGCACCACGTTCCCCAGGTGCCCCTTTCGCGCACCACCATGCGCACCACACGGATTTCAGACATTGAGACGGACTGACGGACTCGTCAGACAGACCTCCGTCAGACGCTTCTCTTTCTTTGACGCTTGCTCCGTCTGAGCCGAATGAGCACTCTGAGCGCAATGCGCTCTGCGTATGACGAATTCGATCGTCTCGTGCATGGGGGCCACGCGAGCTCGAGACGTCTCTCGGCTCTCTTGGCCCACGGGCTCTTATTCTTCGCCCGCGTCAAGAGGAAGAGCTTCGTTCGCCGCTGGTCTTCTCCAGCCTCTTCTTCCTAGAGAATCCTCCGCAAAAACCCTGCCGCAGACAGACGTGTTATGAGGGAGTGAGCACGCTCAGGAGATGACAGTGGCAGCCAAATCAAGTCACACGTGCAGTCGGATAGAGGCAG